CTTAGCCCTCACCCAGTGTTGGGAAGAATATGACGAAGGCCTGTTAAGTCATGAATAGTTTGGAGAAGGTGAATAAGGAATCACTCTCAGTGTCTCTTCTAATACAGGGATGAAGGGGAGTCAATTAAAAACTAGCAATAGGCAGCGCTTTGCCCACAGGTAAGTTGTGAAACACCTCATTGGACACCGTAGCTGCTGGTGCTACATGGGAGAGAAAGGAAGGAGAACAAGTTCATGGGGGGAAAACAACCTAGACCTAATGTAAGCTTTGGGAAATTCCTGAGTGTCACTTTTCTACAACTTGGGAAATGACTCCAAGGAAATACATGCTGACCCTTACTCTTCTGCAGAGAATTAGCACTGGCCATTGACCAACACGATACTAGACTAGGCTGGTAACATTACGCAGTGTGGCTGCTACTACAGTGTGTAGTTTATCCTTAACATAGAGGATGGTGGCTATCTGCAAAGTAAAATTCAGTACGAAGCATTTATTACCTGCCTTTTCTCTGGATAGCACTGGCTTTTGAAATCCACACCATTTTTAGCATTGTAACACAACTCAGTGCATCAAAAGACTTCTATAAAAGCAAAGCAAGGAACATAAAAACAAGATTGAATACAGTACATGAAATAAAAGTTACTAATGATTTAGATCATCAACAGAACTCTGAAAAAAAATAATAAGCACCAGGAGCTTCTGGCGCAAAGGTTATGTTTGAAAGTACTTAGTTTCAAGTGAATTTATGCTACCTCCTTCGCAATACCTTTGTGCTACACAGTTTTCTAAATTAAAGTTTTCTAGTCAATAGGCAATTGTAAGTCAATAAAAGACAAGGATTCTGTTTTGTTGTATCACAAACCAAGCAAAAATATTTTACATTGAATAAAGTTTTCCTCTCTGTCTTACTTGGAAATTACACCTTTATTTTCCTACATTTGATGCAAAATTACAAAAAAAATTGTATTACCATGAGAACTTCAGGAATTTGGTGTGCATATCTCCTACGAAATCCAATTTTATTTTCTAAGCCATATACTAGGTCTTAAACTGCCTCATTATGTTATCTCAATTTTCTTGAACAAGTAATTAGGGAATGGGCATTCAATACATTAAAAACAATGCTTAAAAACTTAATGGATTAGACTTGGGCTAGATACAATAGAAGGACAAAAGGAACTCCCAGTGTTCTCTAAGTCTCAGGAAGATGGCAGTCTAAACTGATGGGCTTGTTTTAAAAATCAAACAGAAATAGTACATTTAAAAAAAAGAAAATAAGACAGATATATCAATATATCAACCTGCAATAGCTTTTATAGGGTTTTTAAACAGCTATTTACAGTATTTATCATAAAACAACTG